CAGTAGTATATTGACAGAGAACTTCCAGAGGTGCAGGCTGGATTCAGAAGAGGACGTGGAACAAGGGATATCATAGCTGCCATCAGATGGATCTTGGCTCAAGGCAAAGAATACCAGAAAGATGTTGACTTGTGTTTTATTGACTATGCAAAGGCATTTGATTGTGTGGATAATGACAAATTATGGATAACATTGCGAAGGATGGGAATTCCCGAACTCTTGATTGTACTCATGAGGAACCTATACCTTGACCAGGAGGCTGTCATTCAAATGGAACAAGGGGACACTACATGGTTTAAAATCAAGAAGGGAGTGCGTAAGGGTTGTATCCTTTCCCCATACTTATTCAATCTATATGCTGAGCAAATAATCTGAGAGGCTGGACTATATGAAGAAAAACTTGGCATCAGGATTGGAGGAAGAATCATTAACAACCTGAGATATGCTGATGATATAACTTTCCTTGCTGAAAATGAAGATGACTTGAGGCACTTACTGATGAAGATTGAGGAACACAGTCTGCAGTATGGATTACATCTCAATATAAAGAAGACAGAAATCCTCACAATTGGACCAGTGAGCAGCATCACGATAAATGGAGAAAAGATTGAGGTTGTCAATGAATTTACATTGCTTGGTTCTACAATTGATGCCAATGGAAGCAGCAGTCAGGACATTAGACGATGTGTAGCACTGGGCAGGTCGGCTGAGAAGGAACTCTTTCAAGTGCTGAGGAGCAAGGATATCTCCTTGAGGACTAAGGTGCGCCTGACACAGGCCATGATATTTCCATTCGCTTCATATGCATTTGAGAGCTGGATAATGAATAAGGAAGACCGAAGAAGAGTTGATGCTTTTTAGTTGTGGTGCTGGCGAAGAATGCTGAAGGTACCATGGACTGCCAAAAGAACTAACAGATCTGCCCTGGAGGAAGTGCAGCCAAGATGCTTCTTGGAAGCGTGGTTTGCCAGACTTCGTCTTACCTACTTTGGTCATGTTGTCAGAGGGGACCTTTCCCTGGAGAAGGATGTCATGCTTGGTAAGGTGGAGGGTCGACGAAAGAAGGGAAGGCCTTCAATGAGATGGATTGACACGGTGGCTGCAACAATGGGCTCAAGTATAGCAAGGATCATGGAGCTGGCGCGGGATTGGGTGGTGTTTCATTCTGCTGTGAATGAGGTCACTATGAGTCAGAAGCAACTCAATGGCACCTAACAACAACAAGAAGTACCAAACAACAATAGAAGCTTAAGTATATGTGGATTTACTTTTTTGAAAAATAACTGTCTATTTATTTTTTTCATCATGTTATGTGCCGTCGAGTCGGCCCCAACTCATAGTGACCCCTCCTTGGGTTTCCGAGGCAGTATCACTACGGAAGTAGGATTGCCCAACCTTCCTTCCGAGGAGTGGCTGGTGGGTTTGAACCGCCAGCCTTCTGGTTAGCAGTCAAGTGCTTTAGCCACTATGCTACCAGAGCTCCCTTTTTCATCATAGCATGGTTTATTTCTGTTCTTTTATTATTATTATTGTGATTTGGGTGAAAGTTTATAGCAAATTTGTTTTCCATTCAACAGTTCATACACATTTTGTTTCATGATATTGATGACAATCCCCATAAGGTAACAGCTCTTTCCATTTCTTCCCTGTGGTTACTTTTTCCCTGTGTCCTTCTATCCATTCCTGCCCTCTGAACTATCTCCTTGTGCAAATGCTGTCCTTCTGATCTTCCATGGTTGAGTGTTCTAGGAGTGTACCTACCTGATGTAAATTCATCTTATACACCTGTCTTCTGTTTGGCTGGAAGCCACAGGAGTGACTTCAATTCCAGACCGTAGTCTTGGGGCAAAAAATAACTTTTTATTTTTTAACTGATTTCAGACTTACAGAAAAGTTGCAAAAAAATATCTCTCACCCAAGTTTCCCTATGTTAACATCTTATATAATCAAAGTACAACGATCAGAACCAGAAAATTACCTTTGGTATAAAAGTATTAACTAAGCTAGAGATGGTATTTGAAATTTACCAGCTTTCCCACTAATGTCCTTTTTCTGCTTCAAAATCCTATTTAGAATTTCACATTGCATTTAATTTTTATTTTTGCTGAGTTTTCTGCAGTCTTTAACAGTTCCTCAGTCTTTTCCCTATCTTTCATATCCTTGATCCTTTTGAATAGTACCAATTAGTAGTTTTGTAGAATGTCTTCAATTTGGGTTTGTCTGATGTTTTCTCATAATTGGAATGAGGTTGTGGTAAGAATACCACAGAAATGATGTTGTGTCTTTCTCAGTGCATTGTATCAAGGGATTCTTGATGCCAGTGCCTTACTACTGGTAGCATTAAACTTCATCTCTTAAGGTGCTGCCTGGTGGGTTCTCCACTGTAAATTTACAGTTTTCCCTTTGTAGTTACTAAATAGTTAGAGAATGATACCTTGAAACTCTCATTCACTAATTTTAGCAGCCATCAGAAGATATTGCCTACAATAGTTATTACTATGGGTTTGTCTGATAGTGATTTTATTTTTATCTTACTCTTTCTTTCTACATGTGTTAACTGGAATTTGATTGTAAAGTAAGAATCTTCTCTTTTCCTCTATTTATTTATTTGACTATTTCCTCTGTTTATTTATTTGATTACTTATAGCTGATGGACGCATATACCTTTATATTATTCTATGAGTCAAAATCCAACACTGTATTTATTTACTTATTTGTTTAATTCTAACATACACAGAAAGTAGTTTCAGAATCATTAATCCACACATCTGTGAGAAATGCATTTACTAACTACGTTACACTGTTCATGTACAGTTCCATTTGCCTTTAGCCTTATGGTATCCAGTCAAAATGCTATTTTCCAAAGTTACTTAGTTCTTCCCCTCCCTTTTCTGTGTGTTTGTCATTCATTTGTAATACAGTTAGGTTCATTTGTTACTCTTCATTCAAGGGCAAGTTTCAGAGTCTCTTCTCGCATCCATTTTGGTCTTTTCTTCCTTTCCTGTCTTTTTAATGACCTTTTGCTTTCTTCATGGATGACGTTCTTGATTGTCATCCCACAGTTCCTCTGGTTTTCGGTCATTCGTGTTCAATGCATCAAATCTGTTCTTTGATGGTTTCTAAATTCAGGAGGGATATAATCAAGGTCATATTTTGGCTCCCATGGACTTGTTTTAATTGTCTTCAACTTCAACTTGAACTTGTATATGAGCAATGGATAGTCTGTTCCACAGCCAGCTTCTGATCTTGTTTTGGCTAAAGATACTGAGCTTCTCCATTGCCTCATGCCACAGATGTAGTCAATCTGATTCCTGTGTACTCTGTCTGGTAAAGTCCATGTGTATAGCTGCTGTTTGTGGCAAATGGAGGAAATGACAGAATAAAAAAACTGAACAGAAGATTTCAAAGAGCAGCTCAAGAAGACAAAGTGAATTATTATAATGAAATGTGCAAACACCTGGAGTTAGAAAACCAAAAGGGAAGAACATGCTCAACATTTCTCAAGCTGAAAGAACTGAAGAAAAAATTTAAGCCTCGAATTGCAATATTGAAAGATTCCGTGGGCAATATGTTGAATGAAGCAGGAAACATCAAAAGAAGATGGATAGAATACACAGAGTCACTATACCAAAAAGAATTGGTAGATGATCATCCATTTCAGGAGGTGGCATATGATAAAGAATCAATGGTATTGAAGGAAGAAGTTGAAGCTGCACTGAAGGAATTGGTGAAAAACAAGGCTCCAGGAATTGACAGAATACTCACTGAGGTGTTTCCACAGACACATGCTGCACTGGGGACACTCACTAGGCTATACCCAGAGATTTGGAAGACAGCTACTTGGCCAACTGACAGGAAGAGATCCATATTTGTACCCATTCCAAAGAAAGGTGATCCCACAGATGTGGAAATTATCAAACAATATCATTAATATCACATGCAAGTAAAATCTTACTGAAGATAATTTAAAAATGGTTGCAGCAGTGTATTGACAGAGAACTTCCAGAAATGCAAGCTGGATTCAGAAGGGAATGAAGAGTGAAGGATAGCTAATGTCAGGTGGATCTTGGCTCAAAGCAAAGAATATCAGAAAGATGTTTACTTGTGTTCTATTGACTATGCAAAGGCATTTGATTGTGTGGATCATAACAATTGTGGATAACATTGAGAAGAATGGGAATTCCAGAACATTTAATTGTACTCATGAGGAACCTGTACATAGATCAGGAGGCTGTTGTTCAAACAGAACAACAGGATATTCCATGATTAAATTAGGAAGGGAGTGTGTCAGGGTTGTATCCTTTCACTATGCTTATTCAATCTGTATGCTGAGCAAATAGTCTGAGAAACTGGACTGTATGAAGAAGAACATGCCATCAGGATTGGAGGAAGGCTCATTAACAACTTGAGATACGCAGATGACACAACTTTGATTGCTGAAAGTGAGGATGACTTAGAGCACTTACTGAAGATTAACTATAGTCTGTAGTATGGATTACACCTCAATATAAAGAAAACAAAAATCTTCACAACTGAACCAATAAGCAGCATCACAATAAATAGAGAAAAGATTGAAGTTGTCAAAGACTTCATATTACTTGGTTCTACAGTCAACGCCAATGGAAGCAGCAGTCAAGACATAAGATGAAGTATTGCATTGGGCAAGTCTGCTGCAGAAGATCTCTTTCAAGTGCTGAAGGGCAAAGATGTATCCTTTAAGACTAAGATGTGGTATTTTCAATTGCCTCATATGCGTGTGAGAGCTGGACAATGAGTAAGGAAGATCAAGGAAGAGTTGATACTTTTGAGTTGTGGTGTTGGTGAAGAATGTTGAAAGTACTGTGGACTGCTAAAAGAGCTAACAAATCTGTTCCTGGAAGAAGTGCAACTGGAATGCTCCTTGGAAGCGAGAATGGCCAGACTTCATCTTACCTATTTTGGTCATGTTGTTAGAAGGGATCATTCTCTGGAGAAGGATGTTCTGCTTGGTAAAGTGGAGGGTCATTGAAAAAGGGGAAGGCTCTCAATGAGGTGAATTGACACAGTGGCTGCAGGGATGGGCTCAGGTATAGCAGGGATCACAAGGCTGGCACAGGAACGGGCAGTGTTTCATTTTGTTATACCTAGGGTTGCTATGAGTCAGAGGCAACTCGATGGCACATAACAACAACAAACCTCCAGGAATCACAACCGTGTTACAGACAGAAAGAAATTTTTTCTTATATATAAAATGGGGATAATAAGTTTTTCTATTTGCCTGACAGGATTGTTGTAAGAATCTCATTATGTAATAAATATAAAAGACTTTGAAAATTACAAAGAACTATCCAAATAAAAAAGGCAGATTCCTATATGTTGTAAAATTTTGCAACAATTTTAGTTTACTTTGATATTGAAAATACTTCTAATTTTAGTGCCGATAATAAATAAATAAATAAATAAGAAGAAATAGTAAACTACAACTATCACCATGTATTTTGAGATAAATATTTATCTTTGCCTAGAGAAATTTTAGCTTCTAGTCTGTCTTCAAATTATATTTCTAATAGATTGTTTGACTTTTTTTCTTTCCTAGGTCCCTCTTCAGAAGACTATCAGAAATGCCATAGAAAAATGTAAGAACTAATACTTTTAAAGTTGTTCTACTTTTGAAAACCCTGGTTCTAGTAGTTATATATCAGGTGTGATTTTCAGCACACAAACACTTCACTAGATATTTGTTTATTTACTTCATTCATTCATTATTTATTGAAGACTTTTCTAGTTACTGGGAAAATAATAGTAAACAAAATTGATTTTTAAAAAATATCTACCTGATTAAATTCACATTCTAGTTGGGAAATGTGGACAGTAAACAAATGAGCAAGTAAATTTATATGTGTTATATGAATAAGAATGCTATGGAGAAAATTAAAACAAGATAGGTGGTTAAGGGAATATTGGAGTGAAGGCTTGCTATTTTAAATAGTGTGGTAAAGGAAGTTATCATTGAAAAGATAGCTTTTGAGTGGAGACCTAAAAAAGGTAACAGAACAAACTGTGTGGAAAAAAAGAGTATTTTAGAAAATAAACATTCCAGAGCGAAGCCGTAAGGCAAGAAGGCCTGGGTTTCTGGAGTGGAGTTAAGGAAGAAGAGAAAAGTTGGAGATAAAGAAAAAGAAGCAGAAGACCAGGTGTATAGTAGAGCTGACAAGGGGCAAGGTTGTGGTCACGGCTTGGTCACAGCCAGCTAC